CTGGGGATGTGGGATCTGGGGCATGAGGGGAAGACTGGCAGAAGGGAAAGGGAGTGAGTTGTGAGTGCTGCCATCCCTGTTCCTGCCCCCAGCTCTGTCCACCCACAGCCTAGTTCCACACCCGGACAAAGACTCAAAGCCATCGAGAACTAGAGAGCATCCAAAGACACCAGCTCCCCCAGCAGCCCTCCCCCTGGGCCCCAATCTCCCTCTCCAGCTCTGCTCAGCACTCCTCACTTCAAGGAACCCAGGCGGAGTGTCCTGAAGCCTGTCTCCCCCCAGAACTAAAAGGCCTTGGGTCTGCAACTGCACCTACTTATTCTCAGCGATTCCCGGACTCAAGTCCTCACTGACCAACTGACAAGACACAGCACAGCGGCTCACAGCTCAGACCCAGCTGCCCCCTCTCCCTCCCTCCCAAATCTTGCTGCTATGCCACTCACAGTGCAGGCTCCCAGTCTGGGGGGTGTCTGGACAATTGCAGTGCATACGTGGCCGAAAGGGTGCCAACGGGGAGTGTGGTTGAGACCCAGAGGCTGTGTCTGAATATAGATGGCAGAGATTTGTGCCTGTAACTCGGGGCTCTGCAGAGAAAGGATATGGGGCTGGAGCCTGTGTAGTTGCCTGTCAGCCTGGCAGAGCCTTCCCCCGCAGCCCCTCTGGCTCAGAGACCCCCCACGGTGAGGGCCCCATCTGCTGGAGGCTCGGTGACCTGTGTCAAATGAGCAGGCGCTCGGTCACACTCCAGAGCCTGGCGGAGGCCAAGCCACTCTGGGAAAGCCCTGGCAGCTTCTGGCCTGAGGGTGGGCTGGCCCGGAGCCCCGCTGTGGAGAGAGGCCTGGGAGCCTCTGAGACTGGCGGCGGCCTGGCTGGGAGCTGTCCTCCGCAGACAAGGGGAGTGTCAAAATAAGAAAAGGAAGGGCTCTCCCGCTTCCTTAAGACGAGCGCTGCTGCCAAACCACATGGACCAAACTCCGGGCGAAGCATGCCCCTTGCTCTTCTCTGATCCCCAGGCAGATGTGTTCCTTCCTACGGGGTGTAAGTACGTGTGTGTGTCCGTGTCATGTGTGGGCTGGGCCCCTTTGTATCTGTGCAGTGGGGCGAGGTGAATGGACGTGGCTGGCTCTATGCTCATATGAATTATATGAACACGAGGCTGTGCCTATGTGTGTGAACTGGCATGCCAGTGGAGAGCCTCCATGCTTGTGACCCCAAAGGCCTGTAAGTCTCGTGTATTTCTGTGTTGCTGAAGGAATGCCTACTTGAGCCCATTTCAGCCTATGGGTGGGTTCTGTGTATGTCCCCATTGACACACATGCCTGTATTTTCATTGTGTGTAGGTCTGTGTGAATATGAAATCTATGACTATCCCACCCAATGGTGCAAGTCCATGTGTTCCCTCGTATAAGTCTATAAGTTTGTCCCTGGGCTAAAATGCATGTGTGTATCTGTGTGTGTGTGCGCGTGTGTGTGTGTGTGTGTGTGTGTGCATGTGTGTGTGTGTGTGTGTGTGTGTGTGTGTGTACATTCATCTGTTCACATGTCTAAGCCGTTCTTGTCAGCTGGGTGTCCGACTCTTGTGTTCCACGTTCTCCCCAGGGTCCGTGAGGGTAGGCTCCAGGAGAAGGGGGTTGTCCTGCAGCACGTGTCTCTGCCAAAGGCCATGCCACAGTCCCTAGCATCCCACTCAGGATCTCTGGGAGCAAGACCAAGAGGATGTATTCGCCAGACTTCCTAGAGAATAAACTCTCCCATAACAGAAAATTTTGACTCAAGACCAAACCCTTATTGTAGAGGATCTAAACTTCCAAAGCAGAAAAGGGGATAGCATCTATTCCTAGCTGGCACTGCTGCTCACCCAAGAGCAGCAGCGAACATTACGAGAGCATCTGAACAACATGCTTGCTTCATCTTTGGAGCTTCAGAGCAAGCCTGAGAAGCAGGCATTCCTGTTCCTGTGTTAAGCTGAAGAAACTGAAGCTTCTACAAGCAAAGCGTTTAGCACAACGTCACAGGGCTGCTGAAGGGAGTCAAGGGATTGGAACTGCGATTTGCTGACTGACAAGCTAGTAAACTGGAAGCCTGGCTTTGCTACAGATGCCCCTCCATTCAGCACAGACCTGGAAACTCAGCTTAAAAGCACCGGCTGGCCTTTTTTTCTACTGGAGAGCGACCAAAGAGAGGGCAGTGGGCTCTCTCTTGCCAAAGCCACCACCTCCACAGGCACCTGTTCCCATCCCACTGGGGAGGGTACTGAGGAGAGGGACCTTCACGGGTGCTGTGCCCTCGGACAGCCCCTGGTTCTTTCAGCCATGCACTGGTGATGACCGTGTCAGTGCACGCGCCCCGGGCTGAGAGGTGTAGGTACCGTGATGACTGAAAGGCACTTGCTCAAGTACTGTGCCATCGTTCAAGTCTCAGTGACAGTTCCAAAACACCTGACATCACAACACCTGTCCACTGTCCAGACATTGCCCTTCCTCCAACAAAAACTGAGAGTGGGTTTATGGAGGTTTGGCTCAGTGGACAGAGTGTTGGCCTGTGGACTGAAGGGTTCCGGGTTCGGTTCTGGTCAAGGGTACATGCCCGGTTGTATGTTCGATTCCCAGTAGGGGGTGTGCAGGAGGCAGCCGATAGATAATTCTCTCTCATCCTTGATGTTTCTATCTCTCTCCCCGTCTCCTTCCTCTCTGAAACCAATTTTATATATATATATATATATATATATATATATATATATATATATATATATATATATATATATATATATACACACACACACACACACACACACCATCAGAGCTGACAGGGCTGAGAGGTCAACCAGTCCAAACCTCTATAAACCCACTCTACAAATGAGGAAACTGAGATTTAGTTAGAGCGGGGGAGAGACTTGCCCGTTCCCTGGGCACTAACCAGCAGAGTGAAAGCCCTTTCTGAGACCCTTTCACCCCCATTGCCTCGGGCCACCCTCTGACTTCCCTTAGCAAGACAGGTGGGCTGCCTGTGGTGCCCCTGTTGCCAGTTTACAGATAGAAAAACCAAGAGCCAGAGAGACTGGACCAAAGTTATTCTTGCCCAGGAGGATGGTGGCAGCTCAAGTGTCAATGTCGCGCAGATCTGATTAGGCTGGCATGAGACAAGACTTGGTCCTCCCCCTGGGCCTGGGAGAGGGGCCCGGAAGGCAAATAGACCAGGAGGTCTGCTGCTTTATGCTCATATGAAGGAAAGGGGATTCGAGGTGACCACTTCCTGAGCCAGAGTCCAAGAAAACTCAGCATCCCTAGCTGGATTCAGACACAGCTCGTGAAGTGAAGGTGGTACCTAAGGAGCCTGCTGGGGACAGGGGCCACTGGTCCATCCCTTGGGGACCTATGGTGTTCAGAGCCCAGCCTGTGCCCAGGATGACCATTCTCATTGTGGACATGGCAGCTGCACCAGATCCCTTCTTCACGCTCTGAGGCTTTCTTCCAGAGTCTTGACTTGCCCTATGGGGCCCTAACTGGTTCTCCAGCTGGGTCCTGTGATCTGGGACCCTCAGAGCCCTGGAATCTATGAACCCACTGGAGGCAAGACCAGGGAGAGGAAAAATGAAAACTGTGCCAGCCAGTTTGGGACAGAGATGGAGGCCACAGCTCAAGCCACTCAGCCTATAACTCCATGTGGGATTTAGAGAGTCACAGACCAGCTGATGCTGAGTCCACTTAGGATCCTTCAGAGAGTCCTGAGGGAAACGGGGGAGGGATGAGGAGGTACCTGCATTGCATGTCTCACCCTTCCAATAAGGCCTTCTCTATCTCAATTCCCTTTTTGGTAGCCTCAAGCAATTCGGGTTAGATCCAGCCCAGGGCTTCATTACAGGCTGGACAGCTCCCAACTGAAGGCTGGATTTCTGATATGCCAGACGCCTTTTCCCAAGTCCAGGCCACTCCTCACCCACAGCAAGTTTCCCAGGACGTGACCCCGATCTGACCCTGGCCAGTGAGCCAGTCGGGCAGGGAGGAAAAGGAGCGAGAAGGCGGTACGGGGCAGATGCTGATGAGCCCGCGTATCCACCACCCCTGGCTGCGGCATTTTCCCCAAAGCCACAGTCGAATACCTCTCCGAATCCCGGAAACCCCGCATCGAGGCCTGATTCCATCGCGGCCACCGGCTGTTCCCCCGCGAGCCGCCCGCACGGTACTCACCTGGGCCGCGGTGCCGGTGCCGGTGCCGGGAGAAGGGGAGCCCGCATGAGGCGTGAAGCTGGGGCGGGTCCGAATCTGCCCGCTCCAGACGCGCTCTCCGGCCGGCCCGGTTGCGGCGCCGAGTCTAAAGGAGAAGAGGGGACGGGAGACGAGCCGGGCCGTGCGCAGGGGACAGCTCCGTGCCCGCTGTAAACCGCGGGCGCGGGGCGGGCAGGAGGAGCAGCCGTGCTGGAACCGAATCCGGTGCGCACGCCGCCTCCCGCTGCAGCCGCCGGGACCGCGGGGATCTCAGCCCGCTGACAACCGCACCGCGGAGGGGAAAGCGCGCGGGCGAGCTGCAGCTTCTTGGAGCCCGAGCGCCTCCCTCCCGTAGCCCGCAGTCCTCGCCGCCGCCTCCGGCCTCCCGGGCGGGAGACGGGCAGGAATTCGGCTCGCGTGGAGAGTAGGACCCGCCGGGCTCCGAGCCTCCAGCGCCCGGGAAAAGAGGGGCCCACGGAGCCCGGACCAGAGGGGGTGCGGCCCCACGGCCACCCCCGCGCCACTCCCCCACGTGGCGGCCGCGCCCCCGGGGCGTGAGTGTGTACGGGGATGGCGGGGGGCTGTGAATGAAGCCCCGGCGGCCAATCAGCGCGGCCAGCGCGCGGGACCCCGGGAGGGAGGCCCAATGGCGAGCTGCGGGCGGCCGGGCCGAGCGGCAGGCGGGCGCGGGGGGCGGGGGCCGGGGCCGGGGGGAGGGAGGCAGCTCCGCGGGCAGCCAATGGGCGGCGGGCGGGGTGGGGCTCCGGAGCGCTGAGCGGGTCGAGGCTTTAAGCCGGCGGAGCGCGGCAGCGGGGCCCGCAGACGGAGCGAGGCGGCGGCGGCGGCGCGGCGGGGCGCGGGGCGGCATGGCCACCACCGCGCAGTACCTGCCGCGGGGCCCCGGCGGCGGGGCCGGGGGCACCGGACCGCTCATGCACCCGGACGCCGCGGCGGCAGCGGCGGCGGCGGCGGCGGCCGCCGAGCGGCTGCACGCGGGGGCCGCGTACCGCGAAGTGCAGAAGCTGATGCACCACGAGTGGCTGGGCGCGGGCGCGGGCCACCCCGTGGGCCTAGCGCACCCCCAGTGGCTACCGACGGGAGGCGGCGGCGGCGGCGACTGGGCCGGCGGTCCGCACCTGGAGCACGGCAAGGCAGGAGGCGGCGGCACCGGTCGAGCCGACGACGGCGGCGGCGGCGGTTTCCACGCGCGCCTGGTGCACCAGGGGGCGGCCCACGCGGGCGCGGCGTGGGCTCAGGGCGGCGCGGCGCACCACTTGGGCCCGGCTATGTCGCCGTCGCCGGGGGCCGGCGGGGGCCACCAGCCGCAGCCGCTCGGGCTGTACGCTCAGGCGGCCTACCCTGGGGGCGGCGGCGGCGGCCTGGCCGGGATGCTGGCGGCGGGCGGCGGGGGCGCGGGGCCGGGCCTGCACCACGCGCTGCATGAGGACGGCCACGAGGCGCAGCTGGAGCCGTCGCCTCCGCCGCACCTGGGCGCCCACGGACACGCACACGGACACGCACACGCCGGGGGCCTGCACGCGGCGGCGGCGGCGCACCTGCACCCGGGCGCCGGCGGCGGGGGCTCGTCGGTGGGCGAGCACTCGGACGAGGACGCGCCCAGCTCCGACGACCTGGAGCAGTTCGCCAAGCAGTTCAAGCAGCGGCGCATCAAGCTGGGCTTCACGCAGGCCGACGTGGGGCTGGCGCTGGGCACGCTGTACGGCAACGTGTTCTCGCAGACCACCATCTGCCGCTTCGAGGCCCTGCAGCTGAGCTTCAAGAACATGTGCAAGCTCAAGCCGCTGCTCAACAAGTGGCTGGAGGAGACCGACTCGTCCAGCGGCAGCCCCACCAACCTGGACAAGATCGCGGCGCAGGGCCGCAAGCGCAAGAAGCGCACGTCCATCGAGGTGGGGGTCAAAGGCGCGCTCGAGAGCCACTTCCTCAAGTGCCCCAAGCCCTCGGCGCACGAGATCACCGGCCTGGCCGACAGCCTGCAGCTGGAGAAGGAGGTGGTGCGCGTCTGGTTCTGCAACCGGCGGCAGAAGGAGAAGCGCATGACCCCCGCGGCCGGCGCCGGCCACCCGCCCATGGACGACGTGTACGCGCCCGGCGAGCTGGGCCCGGGCGGAGGCGGGGCGTCGCCCCCCTCGGCGCCCCCGCCGCCCCCGCCGGCCGCGCTGCACCACCACCACCACCACCCGCTGCCCGGCTCCGTGCAGTGACCCGCGCGGGCCCGGGCCCGGCTGGCGCGCGGCGGAGCACCGCGCGGCCTGTACTCTTTTTGTTCGGTTGCTTTGGATTTTACAAAAAAAAAAAAAAAAAAAGAAAAAGCCCAGAAACTTTAGAACAAAACCAAACACCCGACGACCTTCTCCGGCGAGCGGCGAAGAGGACGGATAGGCTACGGCGCCTGAACCCCGGAGAGAGAAAGGAAGACCCGGACCGCGCCAACTCGCCCGGGGCATCCATCCGGCCCGCCGCCTGCTCCTTGGCCCCATTCCCTCCACGACCCCCATCCTTGCCTCCCCTCGGGCTGTTCGGGGCCGGATCCCGGCAGCGGCCTCCCCACAGCGACAGGTAACGCGGTTCGGGGTTAGGAATTCCCCGGGAGAGAGGACACGGAGAGAGAAGGGCTCCCCATCCCCTCTCCCCGGCGCGGGTCCCCGAGCCTGCGGTCGAGAGTGGGGAGCTGTCACTTTGCTCGCTCTATGCCTCTTCTCTCCCCAAGAGGATGCGCCCCATTCCCCCGATCCTTCCTCCGGGGCTTGGTGGTTTTTTTTTTTTACGGTTTTTATTTATTCGCGGAGCCTCTCGGCTCCTGGGGTCCTTCTAACTCCGCCCGCGCCCTTAATTTAAATCGCTGTATTACTGTATTTATCGGGGCCCCGGAGGAGAGGCCGCGAGAGCCGCGTCTGTGTATAAAAAAAAGAAGAAGAAAAAAAAAAAGCAGGAAATAGCCAAAGCTTTACTCTAGCCTAATTTATTTTTTTTCCTCTTGCCGTCCTAGCCCTACCCCAAAAAGAGCAAAACCAACGAAAAGAAAAAATAACACAAAAACTAACAAAAAAAAAATTTTTTTTTGAGTGCTCATTTTCGTTTCGTTTTATCGGAGCTCCAACTCGGTTCCGGCCACGCCGTAGGGGTCTGCGCTCCCACCCACAACCCCGATGGCAAGGGGCTTCTGCCCCCGCTGCAGACTGACCACCGCACCACAGGGTCCCCGCTCCCCGCGGGGCCCTGCCCTCCTGGCCACAAACAAATGCAACTTGGAAAAGTTGGAGGTATTTTTTAACCAGCTGTAGAAATAAGCCGTTCCCTGAAAGCCTTCTGCCTGAGTCCCTGCAGCTTCCGTCTGCTCCTTTGCAGCCCCCTGGGATGGGGGAGGCTGGGAGAGAAAATTCCCCTACTTTGGGGTGAGGTGGGGAACCATGTAAATATGTGAGATATGTACACACTGGCGGGGAGAAGAAACATTTTTTGTGCTTGATTTTTATTTTTTGGTTTTTCCGGGTTGCCCTCCGTCCCCCATCCGAAAGGATTTTGTACACCGACTAATCCGAAAAAGATATTTTAATATGATTTCCAGATTTCTGACCGTCTCTATTTATTTTCTGGATGTGTCTGGAGCTTCCCCCTCCTCCATTCCTTGTTTTTTTGTTTGTTACCGTTGGAATTTAAATTTTATTTTTATTATTTTTTTGGAACAATGTTTTGGTGCATTCTCTTTGTATCTTTATTGCAAAAATAATAATAATAATAACGTAGACTGGGAAGTTCCCTTTATATTTATGTTATAGTAAATATTTTATTACTCACATAAACATGTACCCCAGGGCTGTGTCCTGTCCTCTTTACTACCAGGGCCGGGTGGGTTTGTGGGTAAAATGTTGGGGTACCCTGGCTCACCTCCCCCAAAGTCTTGGCCTTCCTATTGTAGAGAAAGGTAACCACACCACCCTTCTTCCAGGCCAGTATTGGGACCTCCTGTTCCCTGGGCCACATCGGGGCCCCTGCCTCAGGTGAGTGAGTTTAGGAAGATGAAGCTGGCCCCAGTCCCCTCCCACAGACTATCCTGAGACCGGACCTGGGCCAGGACGGGGAACCGCAGGCACCAGGCTGAATCAGGGCCAGCGTTCCTCAGGCACAACTCCCCTGCTCTTCTTAGCCCAGCGAGAAACCACCTGGACCTGGACCATGAGCCTGGCATCTCTGTATCCCCCAACCCAACCCTGACTTTGGTTCCAGTTCACACTCCTAGTGTGAGGCCTGGGCCAAGCTGGAGGCTGGCTCAGGCCCCACCAGCCCGTCCCAGCTGGCTCTCCAAACTCAAGCATCGTGGTACCTAAACCTCCTTGGACCCACTGGCGGGTCCTGCCCTGGTCCTTCGTGAGCTGAGTGGACCTAGGGAGGAAACCCTACCTGTTTGCTTCGACAAAGGCTTCTCGGCAAACAAACCAGCTGCCTCAACTTCTCCTGCCGAAGAATGGGGGCATAAACACCAAAAGCTCTGCCATCTCCTCTCTGGGGATGGATACCCAAGGACTACTGCCCACCCCGGTACCCCCATCCAGGGCGTGATGCATATGCCTATGGGAGGACTCCACAGTGTGTAGTCACGACCTGGGTGGAGGGCACAGACACCCTCAGACGTCCCCTTCTCAAGCCTTCGGCGGCAACATGCCCCCTCCCCAGGGTCAGGGTGGTGGAGGCAGATCAGTGTTCCAGGCCCGAAGCTCAAAACTACCCGTGTCCCGGCCAAGACCTTCCCTTAAAACAACTCTTTTTAAAAACACAAATAAATAACACAGCCTGTTTTCTCCCGTCTTTCTTTTCCCTCCTCAAGAGAAACTGTATGAGGTTTCTTTTACTCTGCGTGGAGACAGCGCGTGAAGGCACAATTGCTGGAACGGGGAGAAAGTTGTGTCCCCGGTGAGGGTGTATGGGTGGCCACCAGGAAAGCTGCCAACTCCCAAGCCTGTGAGAGCTAGTGCTCCCACGCCCCCGATGGTGCCACGCTGAGAGTTCTGGTGACTGTCTGGGCTCTGCCTCTCTCTCAATCTTGGGAGAATTGTCTCGGCAAGTACAAAGTTCTCCAATGCCAGACCCCTCACTCTGCTCCTTATTTTTTCTCCCACTTTCACTCCAGCCTAGTGAGCAATTAGCCCTGTAATTGGCACCCGTGCCCCAGCCAGTCCCCATCCTGGCAGGCCAGTGAGCCTCCCCAGGCTTCTTAAAGAGGTAGCCAGGAATGTATGGGCCAGTGAGGTGACAGCATGGCCCAGAGCATCAGGCCACCCTAGCTTGGCCCCTCATTTCCTGCTCCATGAAGTACGGTACCTCAAAGCGGTCCCACACTCCCTCCTCACATCTCCATTCCTGTGTTTGTTCCACCCTCCCGGCCCCGAAATGGAAGCACATGGAGCTCGCTCAGCGCGCCGCCCTGAGCCTCAGCGGGTTTGGAGGTTGGAGAGGGTGACTGGGAAGACGGGGGTCTTTCACTGGCCTTTGCCTGCAGCTGACACCAATTGATTGATTGATTTCCCAATTATCTGCTTAATCCTGTACAAGAGGGTGGATTTATTATTTAAGCAAGTCAACTCAAAACCAGCAAAACAATGTGGCCTCCCAAGAACCAGCAGCAGCTGACAGGTAGAACAAAAAGATGGAGGGGAAAGTAGAAAAGGGGACGGAAGAAAATCTTCCACTTGGTGAGGATTTTGCTTAATGAGACACCAGCCTGGGACAGCTACCCAGGAACCAACCTCTAGTCACTGAAGGCCCCCCTGACTCTTTCCCTGCCTCTGGCCTGGGAGGAGGGTAGAAACCGTAGCACATTGGACCATTAAGGAAAAGCCATAGGGAGAGAGCTATTTAACCCTGCAGTCTTAACCCCCTGGATAGAGTTTAGGAAAAAGACACAGGCCCCTGCGAGCTTGACTGAGCCGCTTCTGCATGCCCTGCGTGTGTGGGTCTACCTGCTCATTCCAGAGAGCCTCAGGCTTCCTTTTGTCCAAGACGGGGAGAAGTCCCTAGCATCAGCCTTCGAGGAAGGCCACGCTTTCCTGAGCTGACTTTCTGATTCGGAATTTTCCGATCCCATCTTCCTTCCTCGTTTGAGCAACATTACTTTCTATGATCATGTGGCCACATGTTCTGTTAGCGCTTCCCTCTCCTCATGTGAACTTCTGTGTGTGTTGGTGTGTGAATGTGTGTGTGTGCCTCTGTGCCTGCAAATCCATAGCCACTCCCAGAGGGAGGAGAGGGAAAAGAAAGTCTACACTACACCAAGAATGCTTTGAGCTGGAAGAATATGTGCAGGGCGGGGGTTGGTCAACAACAGGAAGAAAGAAGGTGACCACGACGGTCATCCAGGCAAACCCAGAAGGAGCCCTACACTGTACCTCAAGGACCCCCACCTTCTGCCCTGGCTTATATGTTGCCTGACTTAGGTCTGGCACAATCCTCCCTTGAGCCCAGGACTCGATTGCATGTCCACTGGACTAGCTGACCCCAACCACGGCTACGCACTTAGAGCTGTTTGGAACCGAATCTCCTCTGCAGAGGCTCTGGGCCTGCATATGGGGTGTGTCAAGCCCCCAGTGATGCACCCAGGCCCTGGCTCTCCCCAGCAGGGCTAGAGCTTCAGAAAGGAGACTCACCCGAGCAGGAGAAGGAGAGAGAGGGGGTTTGTTATCTGGGCTCAATTGTTCCTCCTAAACTTAACAAGAGGATTCACCCAGACCTCCGGCTTAGTGACTGAAGCCAGAGTGGCCGTCAGTCTTATCCCCGCCTGATGTATTTGAAAACCCCGGAGTTAGTGTTTGGCCAGCCGATCAGGGCTCTTCCTGCTGCCTGGGATGGCGGCCTCCATGTGGGAGGACTGCCCTCTATTGGTCCCTGAACTGGGACGTGGCAACAGTCACCAGGGCCATCTCACAGATGGGTGTCCCCCAAACAAGTCAGCTTCAAGTTGCCTATTCTACGGGAGTGCCAGGTACAGCACAGTCAACTAGCACCTCCAAGGGTGCAGTCCTGCTTCTCACACGCACACAGGCTTGCCAGAGACCACCTTCCCCATCCCACGGCCACGCTCGGAAATTTCCCATCGCGGCTACCCCCTCTATCTGTCTCCCCTCATACCCATCCCCATCACACTCACACGCTAACACACTCATGGTCACACCCATACCCCTGTTTGGCTGTCCAGTACCAGTTTCGTAGTCTTTGGCGCTGAGCTCTCCAGAGTTGCCAAATACCTGGCACCTGTAATATTTCTTAAAATACAGTCATCCTTGGCAGCATTTGACGAGGTCCCCATACTCTCAGGATAATCCAGGCACTTACCCCACAAACTGCGTTCCAAACACATCCATGCCCATCATTGTTCTCCGCTCCTCCCAGCTCTCTCCTGCTCACTCCCTTCAGATAATTAAAGTTAGGCTGTGTGTTTGTATGTATATGTGATCTTATTTTTTAAACACACACCCCCACACGTACATATGCGTATATATATACAAACACACACACACAGCAATTAGATCTCTCCATTCCTGCCATCATTCCTCTGGTGCAGGAAAACCTCAGCTGCTCATAAGTCCCCACATCGCCATGTGATGAACCAGGCATCACCTAGTCACAGGCCCCTGATGTCACAACATACACACACACACCAAGCTCCCTGGTGTTGTTTCAGAGGCACAGCACACCTCCAGGGCATCTGACAGGCCTCCGCTCACACGAGCTGAGTACCAGGAGGGCTGTGCCTCGGGGCCCCCCACGCACATACACCCAGTGGATGTGTGTCTGGCTGAGCCTGACCAGGGTGGGCCTTGGTATTATTAGGCTGCAGAGACAGCACGGAGGCATATGGTCTCATACACAAGAAATAATGTTCATGTTAAATCAGACCTCATGCATAATGCATGGTGCCTGATCTCACATTATTTTGGGTGTTCGTCAAAATCAGTGTTCTTTCTTGCGAGTGCTTCGGAAAAGAAGGGGGCAGGCGTTTGCTAATTGCACCTGCAGCCTGGGACCCAGGGAGCCTTCCTCTACCCCGCTCCACCCACCAGTGGGTCCCATCCCTCCGTCCCTCTGTCTTTCCACATGGAAGGAGGAGGAGCTGGCTGCCTCAGGTTTGTAGCAGGCGTGAGGCCCCGTGTTATTTTTATTTCTTTTCTCTCGGCTCTCTGTCCCCAGAGGGTTCTGGGGAATAGCGGTGGCTCCGTCATTCTCACACCCGATTCATTTGCCGTTTTATGAACTCCCCATTGATTCATCGCCTCCCTAAGTCAATGATTCACTCCTGATGGCTGTGCAGAAATCCTTCTTCAAAGGCTCCAGATTATTCAGCTCTGAACAGGAGCGGACCTGGACCCTGTGCTGCTCCTGTCCCCCTTGCTTAGGGTGGAAATCATCACCGTCCTGGGCCTTTCCCTGGGGCTGGCTGCCCGGGGAGGAGGGCAGGGAGTGCTCCCTCTATGCAAAAGCTGCTAGTGTTGACCCCAGCAGCTCATAGACAGACAGGGCCTTCCAACAAGGTCCCGTCAGCCACTGGGTCCCCTGCCTTCTCCCATTGTCATCAATTTTGCCGGGGAAGGTCTTTATGCCTCAGGGGGGAGGCAGAGAGTAGAAGAGCGAGATGCAGGGGCTGTGAGATCAGGCAGACCTGGGTACAAATCCTGCCTCCACCTCCCTATCAGCTGTATGACTTCAGGCCAGATACTCACCCTTTCTGTGCCTCGGTTTCCTAATCCTGTGACAATGGCAGTTCCTACATCGTGGATCTATGTTGAGAGTTAAGTGGGAGGATGTACATAGAGGGTTTAGTATA